TGTGAATGTTGGCGGCAGAAAGTAGCTCAAGATGTCACACCCCAACACAAATGACATGTGTGTGGCATCGCGGGGAAATCAGGCGCTCGCTCAAATATTGAAATCGAAGAAAAATACATTTTTCCTGCCAATATGGCAATTCTTATCGATTTTTTTATCTTTAAAAGATATTTTTGTCCATCCTTCCCTTCAAAACTGTATTATTGCTGTGTGGATTTTACTATTTTAAAAAACGCTGATCAAAAACAAAATTAAAAATAAATAAAATATCAGTTTCCAAGAACACTCAAGCTTTGAAAGTCACCAAACTTTGGCTGCCATTTACTCGTTAATTTCACCTCTGATACCAGGGAACCCCCAATTCATCCAATCGCAAACATCTCGACTTCTATTCAAGAAAGATGATAATTTTTTTTTCACCAAGAGCAAGACAAGTGAACAAGCTTTAAGATGATACCCATAACTCCTTTTGACCAAAAATTGACGAGCGCTTGATTCCATCACGCCGCGACACATGTTTCCTTAAAAGACTAAGAATTCCTGTCACGATAATTTTTTGTGTGCCCCTCCTCACTCACCGTAACCTGGGCTATAGAATTCACCGAAGTTTGCAAACTTGTTCTCAAGATTTCGCGATAAACAAATTGCAGTTTTCCTGTTCAAGAAAATTGATCCAAAGAGATAAGGCCCGTCTTCTACACACACAACATACCTCTGTAGATTCTAGTAGTGCTGCGGTAAATTATATACTTCAACCTGCTTGGTTCCGCTCTAGGGAGGCGGTTGATGACAAGACGTCTAAAATTATACGTTTAGAGCAGTGTTCCGATCCTGTGATAAAGACCGACAAAGAAGTCAAGAACAAATCAAGAACAGATTTCTGTATGCTTTGCCTCAGTAAATTATACGAGAGTGTGGCTAGTTGTAGTGCTTGCTACGGCTTTGAGGATCTTTCTGGTAAACAATGCAGTGGAAGAAGAAGAAAAATAAATAGGATGCATTTGACTCTTGTGGATTTGTGGTATGTGTGGAGCGCACAGTGAGTTCTTTGTTGAAAAAAAAGGGGGTGTACTCTTTTTAGTCATGCCTCTCAATTCTTGTAGGATTGACAGAACAGCTCCAGATAATACACTTACCCACTCATCTTTCTCTCTGCGTCTGTCTGTCTGTCTGTCTGTCAGTCTGTCTGTCTGTCTGTCTGTCTGTCTGTCTGTCTGTCTGTCTGTCTGTCTGTC